CATGAAAGTAATTCTTAATAATCGCATTGCAGATTCTCTCCTAATTGTGGTGCTTCTACCTACGTAACTTGTGATGTGTAACATAGACTTGGTAGAGCGTATAGGACAGGTATTACATTACATCATTCTCTTATCTTTCCTTAAGTTATTATCAGTGCCTTCACTTCATGCCTGAACAAGATGTGTCCTTTCTGGGGAGCTCTGAGTGACATTGTTCACACACACGGTGTTGTGAGTGGCAGCCCCAGAGTTTACAAACACCAGAACCCCAAGAGTTAATGTCATTTCACAAGTGGCATTGGTTAAGAGGAGCAAAAGTACTGTGGGTTAACCAGTTTGATTTCATAGAGGTCTAGTTTTCTAGACTTAGTCTATTGGAAAACAGCCTGTATGGTGACATTAGTATTGTCTCCCTACATGCTCCATATCTCACAATTTATGAAATATCCATATAATATAGATGTGTAAAAATAGAGCCTATTTAACACAACACTGCTTGAAGTTGGTAAATGAGTTGAGGTATAAGAATCCAGGGTGCAGCCATAAAGAGCTTAATGTACATGCACACATGCGCACACATGTACGTACAGCACACACACATATAAACAGGCGTAGTCTAACACACATGCACAAACATGCACGCATTGGAACACATCAAAAGTTGGAGATTTTGCACATGTGAATGGAAATGCAGAAAAGTTATTCATCTACTGCTTTGTTGATAAGGTGATTTTTTTTATTTTTATTTTTTAGCTTATACTCTTCCAGGGAAGGCAGGCAGATGGTTTTCAGTTAGGGAATCAAGAGATGGTCCCACAGCTTTTGTGGTAGCCACAGTGATTACTCTCATTTCTGAGGTTTTGGCGCTGATATCTTCCCCTTTACATACCTTAGTTCCCTCATTTTCCCTCTGGCTGCCTCTAACCTTTGTTTTGATAAACTGCCTGGGATTTTCCTTAAATTATAATCAAATATGTCTTTGTGTTGACCACCAGAGTCTCATACCCATAGTATTAGCTTCTTAGGTGGTGGCAATGGGGGAATCACAGTTCCAGAAGAGCCTGGGCAAAATCATGCATGAGACTCTCCCCTCCCCCCCCCCATCTCCACAGACAACGATGAGTGTGAACAGACAAAGATGACTGTCACCCTAGCTACAGTGGGAAGCATAAATAGGAGGAACATGGTCTAAGTCAACCCAGGCACAAAGCAATATTCTATTTCAAAAAAAAATTACTAGAATGCGAAAGTCTCAAGTGATGGGGTACCTGCCTAGCAAGCACAAGGCCCCGAGTCCAATCTCAAGTATAGAAACAAATCCAAACTAGACTAAAAAATGGCTTTTAAAACAAATCTTTCTTCAAAACATCTTTGTTCTGTGTCTAACTCTCTCACGATCCCCTCTCTGACTAACCCCTGTGCATGAGACGCTGACCTCTAAGTTTCTGGATTCCCCATGCTCCCAGTTCTTTTCTCCTCGTCTGACCTTCAGGAGTCTGCCTTTTGTCAGCTGCACCATCACCTCGGTCTTTTTTGGGGGGGTCAAATGTGTGAAAATACTAGGGTCTCCTACTGGGCTTTTTCACTCAAGGCTGGTTATTCTACCATTCGGGCCAAACCTTCACTCCCAGCTTTTTGCTGGTTCTTTGGAGATAAGAGTCTCACGGACTTTTCTGCTCAGGCTGACTTTGAACCATAATCTTCAAATCTCAGCCTTCTGAGTAGCTAGGATTATAAACATGAGTCACCAGCGTCTGGGCACCTTGGTTTTCTCAACAGCTAGCTCTGTGTAGGTTTTGCAGTGGGAGTCACTGGCAGGAGATCGGAAGGTGGAAAAAATGTATCAGCCTGCTGTTCTGGCTATAGCTGTGCAATCCACTACAGCTCCCCCTGGGCCCTTTGTCCTGTAAAACTGCAATCAATGGGCTCCTGTAAAGCCATTTCTGTCTCCTGTTCCTTTGCCCTAAGGGAATGAGGGCTTCCCACCATTCCTAGAGTCTGGGTTCTTGGCCAGCTCTTGTTTCTTTGTGTGGTATGTTAAATTATATCTAGCTGTCAGTTCCCAGACGCTCACCATTAAGTCTCCTTTATTTCCCTACAACTTAGGAATGAATGATAGCATTTCAATTTGGTTGCTCCTGTAATTGGTGGTGTGGAAATCTGTTTGCCCTTTGAAATAGTGGGGACACACATCATGTCACATTCATTTTTGAATGTGGATGTCTTGTAGAGGATCTGGCGTGTAGAAGGATCTCAGGACATTTTCTAGGACCTCTTAAAAATGAATTCATATATTGCTATTACTAGATTTCTCTTTGAAAGTCACTCAACCATTCTAACAGTATTTTCATTGCGTATATACCTGGAATTGGGATAAATAGCTTTTGAAATTTCTTTACATTTTTTCTTCTACACAGCCCAGGAAAATATATCTCACTAGCCTCACTGAGTATTCCACATGAGTCATGGAATTATGAAAACCACAGCAAGAAGATAGGAGATGACACTTACTGACTTTGGGTTCTCCCAAAGTCACATGTGCGCATTGCTTGCAAAAAGCAACTGTGCTGTCATTCATTTTTTGCACCTTCTCCTTGTCTGCCAAGCTCTCTTTGGTGCCCTATTGTCCCGCAAGTTGCCTGTTTGAGTTGTTTGAATTAAGAGGTTAGAACAGAAGGTCCATCTGCTCTACATGACTATTAAATTATCATACGACTTTGCATAAGGAGAAGTTACCCTTGTGATGTTACCATGCTTCCTTTCCCCTTTGTGTAAGCAAGACTTGGAGCGTCAAGCTCTTTTATTTCTTGTACTTGAATAAGCTTCCATCATCAAGTGGTATAATAGGCTTAGAGGTCTTTGAATGGCAGGTACTGAATAGAAGGAAGAAAGGTTTCATTTATTCTCATCATCTTATAAAAATGCCATACTTATTAAGTGTCATTAAACATGCAGTATGTCAGTTCTTGGTATTTTGAGTTTACCAGGTTTTATAAGGAGAAAAAAGAAGCACATTGTAAATTACACATCGAAGAGATAGAGTTTGCAATCAACCTGGTTCATTAAGTTAATGCATATGTTATTTTAATTCACAATATGATGGATAGCATGCAACTGACATAGCTGTGGCTTCATTTAGAATATTCATGAGTGGGAAAGTTTCAGCCAGCCTGTAAGTAATATAATGTATAGGAGTAAGTTATATTCTTTTCCAGCAAGCACCTAAACCGTTGTAATCATTTGGCTGGTAGATATATATTATATAATCAAACTTGCTAATAAAAGCTGAGTAAGGAGGTCTGTTGAAGGATGGAGTCTTGAAAAAAAATGTGTGTGGTTTCCATTGTTTAAAGTGTGGCTTTAAATAATCAGCTAATTTTTCCAGTGAAGTCCAAAGTTGGATTATGCTTTGAGCATTCACATTTATACAACAGTTTGTCAAAATGAATAGAAATGCATCTAATTTCTGTGTTACCAGTTATTGGCCTGTTGATGCTTTTAAAGGTAATGGGAAAATAGAAATTCAGAAGATGAATTTTTCGTAATTTAGATAAAGGAATTAGAAGGTAATGTGCACATTCACCTTGTAGAATCTAAGAATCTAGAATCATAAGACGTTCAATTTAGTAAGTATGGGGAGCAAAGTGGCAGAATCTGTGTCCTAGCTTCTCATTCTTACTGAATAATTATTTTGGGGTAGGTCTAGGTTATATGGAGAACTAAGATATTTATATCTGGGGTACACTTGCTAAGCAAAGTGGTGCAAAATTATAAAAGCTGAAGGTAATTTAGATTTATTTTTTTAAATTTATTTTTATTTATTTATTTGTTTTTTTTTGGTCCGGTCGTGGGGCCTGAACTCTGGGCCTGGGCACTGTCCCTCAGCTCTTCAGCTCGAGGCTAGCGCTCTACCACTTGAGCCATAGTGCCACTTCCAGCTTTTTTCTTTTTGCTTATGTGGTGCTGAGGAATCAAACACAGGGCCTCCGGCATGCAAGGCGGAGTGCTCTACCACTGAGCCACCTTCCCAGCCCTGGTAATTTAGATTTAGAAGGCAGAGGAGGAGCCTGAGAACAGGTCTTTGTTAGCATGAAGGAGAACCTGTCTCTGTTAAAGAGCTGAGTCAACAGGGGCAGTGTGTGAATAAGCAAACAATTTCTGTTGGCAAATGTGTCGATTGTAAATATTTTTGCAAGATTCTAAAAGCAATTCTTTGATACTCTATGCCCCTTCACTAATTAAAACGTGGCATTCTTTGGTTCTGAATCGTGTTTTAAATTCTTATGTCATTTGGAATGGAAGTAAGGTAGGCCAAGATTAGATTCATTTAATTTAATTTATTTTAAAAAATAATTGTTTCTCTTTTCTTTTCTTTATTTATGTTTTGTTTATGTGGTCCTGAGAAATTGAACCCAGGGCTTCATGCATGCTAGGCAAGCACACTACCATTAAGCCACATTCTCAGCCCTTAAAACTATTTTAAATGGACATTCCCAATTCACATATGGATAAGTAATATTGAACTATAAGAATTTCAAGCTTACAAGTACATGCTGAAATTAAAATAGTTTCTGCTTAATTTTAAGTTCTCTAATGGTATAGAAAACTGGGCTTGTCTAATATTGTGCTTCTCGTATTAAATACCTACTCATTATGTTGTAGGTAGACATACCTATCAGACAAGTCATTGGCTGTGAGTGAGTTTTTTTTTTTTTTTTACACTTTTTTCAGCCTTATCCTGTCTTTCAATGCAGTGCAACACGGAACACTTCACTCTTCCTCTTCCACCCCATTTCAATCTAAACTTAACTTGCAAGAAGCAAATTTAAGTTTACATTCATATGTACCTTAGAAACATATTAAATTCACATTTCAAGTTAGGGAGCACTTTGAAGAAGGTGTGGGACCTGATGAAATATACGTGATGAAATGATATAACAGCTTCTTAGTTGTTTTTCCTAATAAAATATCAATATGTGTTTTTTTTTCTTTCTCCAAAGCCATATGCCAATTTCAAGGACGAACTTACTTTGAAGGAGAACGAAATACGGTCTATTCCTCTTCTGGAGTGTGTGTGTTATATGAGTGCAAGGTAAGAAAACTAGTTGTGAGTCTTTTGGAATTGTCTCTTTTGGAAGTGTTTCTTTAAGAGCTTACCTTTACAATTCCCCCTTCAAATCCTAAGGCAAGAAAAAAATGCAAAATCCCAATTATAAATTTTTTATTGTGAAAATACCATACAAGGGGTTACAATTACATGGGCAAGGTAATGAGTACATTTCTTATCAAGCATCGTTACCTCCTCCTTTGTTTCCCCTTCCCATTCCTTCCCTTCCTCCCTTCCCCGCCCCCGCCAAAGTTGTAAAGTTCATTTTTCCACATAACGTCTTGTACATCTCATTGTTGCAATGTGTCCACCTGTATCCCTATTTAAACAAGTCGTTTTTTCCCTTCCCCTCCCCAAATTATACCAACATCAAATACAGCGAAAACAAGGGTTGTACTGTGGGGGAGGGACATACAAAGCAACATAGAAATCACCTTATAAATATGTTAGAAACAATCGCAAGAAAGAAAAACCATTTGAATCCTTATCTTGGGGTTCATTTCGCCTAATATCAACTTATCTGACCGTTTCTGCTTGTCTCAGACAAATATTAGTTATTGCAAATAAGTGAAACCATGGGACCTATGTTTCTTTGGGCCTGGCTTACTTCACTTAATAGAACTTTTTCCAAGTCCTTCCATTTCCTAACAAATGGGGCAATGTCATTCTTTCTGATGGAGGCAGAAAATTCCATTGTGTATATATACCACATTTTCTTGATCCATTCATCTACTGAGGGCCAGCTGGGTTGGTTCCATATCTATGGTAAATAATGCTGCAATAAACATAGTTGTTCTGGTAGCTTTAGTGTGGTCTTGTTTGTAAACATTTGGGTAAATGCCCAAAAGTGGGATTGCTGGGTCATAGGGGAGCTCTATGTGAAGTCTTTTGAGGAACCTCCATACTGCTTTCCAAAGTGGTTGAACAAGTTTATATTCCCATCAACAATGCAGTAGGGTTCCCTTCTGGCCACATCCCCTCCAGCATCTGTTGTTATTAGAGTTCTTGATTAAAGTCATTCTAACTGGGGTGAGGTGGTATCTCAATGTTGTTTTGATTTGCATTTCTTTTATGGCTAGGGAGGTTGAGCATTTCTTCATGTGTCTATTGGCCATCCTTCTTTCTTATTGAGAGAAGTTTCTCTTTAGATCTTTAGCCCAGTTATTTATTGGGCAGCTGTTTCTTTGAGGATTTGTTGTTGGGGGATTTAATTTTTTGAGTTCAAGGTATATTTTAGATATGAGATGAAGATCTTCTCCCAATCTGTCGGCTTTCTATTGATCTTGCTAGCTATGTCCTTTGCCATGCAGAAGCTCTGCAATTTCATGCAGTCCCATTTGTCCAACCTTTCTTTGATTTGCTGTGTTTCTGGGTCTCTTTTAAGAAAATTTCGGCCTGTGCCAAGGAGACCTATGGTTTCTCCTATTCCATCCTGTAATGTTTTCAGAGTGTCTGCTTTGACTCCGAGGTCTTTGATCCATTTGGAGTTGATTCTGGTGCAGGGTGATATAGAAGGATTTAGCTTTAGTTTTCTACAAGTGATTAACCAATTTTGCCAGCACTATTTACTGAAGAGGCTGTCTTTCTTCCATTCTATATTTTTAGCTCCCTTATTGAAGATTAGATGGCTGTAGGTCTGTAGGTTCATTTCTGGGTTTTCAAATCTATTCCATTGGTCCTGAGGTCTGTTCTTGTTCCAGTACCAAGCTATTTTGATTACTATGGCTTTGTAGTTGAGTTTAAGGTTTGGTATTGATATTCCTCCAGCACTGTTCTTTCTGTTAACCGAATTATAATTAACTGTAAAAAATGTCTTATCTTTTCAAGCCTCTAAGATAATAGTTATAAATAACTTTACAATAAGTTCAAATTAAAGTTTGCCCAAATTGCCTTCTATTTTCCAAAGCCAGTTGGTTACCTGTCAGTTCTATTATGAGAAAAATGCTGGAGAAGTTGCACTATGTTTGTCTCTTATAATTTTGACCCTGATGATAAATATAACTCAGTTTGATTAAAAACCAAACATAAGCTACCTAATAGAGGTTAACTTTTGTATGAAGATGAAATTGATATTGAGTTTTTAAACCACCTTTCAAGAGTATTTTAAATGAATGAAGGAATATTTTAACTATTTCCTTTCCACGGTCTCTTGCAGTATGTATTCCTCCTCTTAGTGTTACTGGGGATTGAACTCAGGGCACTGTGTTTACTAGGTAGGCACTAGAACCACATCTCTAGCCCTTTTTTGTATTGACTCTTTTCTAAGTGTTCTCATTTTATAGCCAGGTTGGCCTGGCTATGATCCTCCTACCTGTGCTTTCCTGTATTTCTAGGGATTATAGGCTTAAGTTATGTGTCCAGTCATTTGGTACAATAGAATCTCACAAACTTGTTTATGCCTGGGCTGGCGTGAAACCACCATCCCTTAACTTCCACCTTCCAGATAGCTAGGATGATAGGCCTATGCCACCATACCGAGCTGGTAGTATTTCTTAGGAACTCGTCTGCTCCATAACCTACTGCCTACAAAAGTTAAGTATGTTTACAGTGTTACTCATATTGATTGGTAATTGTGTGTGTGTGTGTGTGTGTAAAATGCAGTACTGGGCCTTGAACTCAGGGCCTGGGTGCTATTGCTTAGTTTTTTCCACTCAGTGTTGGCATTCTACCACTTGAGCCACACCCCTATCTTTGGCTTGGTGGTTAATTGGAGATGAGTCCCACAGACTTTTCTGCCTGGCTGGATTCGAACTCTAATCTTCAGATTTCAGACTCCTGAGTAAATATCTTACAGACATGAGTCACTGGCTTCATATTAGTCTTTTAGAAAGCATAATACTGTGTTTTTTGACCCTACTGTTGTATGTCATATTCTATTGGAAGGAAATGATCTACATAGAAAGTATCCAATATGTTGTATCTCTGATTTTTCTTTCTTTTCTTTTCTTTTTTCTTCCTTTCTTTTTCTTTCTTTCTTTCTTTCTTTCTTTCTTTCTCTGCCTTTCTTTTTCTTCCTTCCTTCTTCCTTCCTTCCTTCCTTTTTTCCTTCTTCCTTTCTTCCTTCCTTTCTCCCAGGGCTTGAAAGCTGGGACTGGGTGCTGACTCTCAACTCCTTCTGCCAAAGGCTAGCTCCCTACCACTTGAGCCACAGCGCCACTTCTGGCTTTTTCTGTGATTACTTGGAGATAAGAGTCACAGACTTTCCTGGCCAGGCTGGCTTTGAACTTCAATCCTCAGATCTCAGTCTTCTGAGTAGTTAGGGTTATAGGTGTGAGTCACTGGCACCTGTCCATACACCTTGTGTATGGATCAAGGGATGATTTGGGGGTGCAGAGATTATATAAAAAATTAAGATAATTGGTTTATATAATTAGTAAGAATTAGGGTACGGAAATTGTAAGAATTTTACTAGGATAAATTGAACCTGAAAGAAGATCCATTTTATGCATCTCACTTTGGAAAAACATTAGGATATTAAGGAGAAAATGTTAAGAATCAGCACAGTGTCAGATTTCATTTTCTAGAGCATGAAAGCTCTAGAAATGGAAGCATATAAAGTGCTCATTACAACGTACTCAAGCTGCTCCCTTTGGTTTAAAATCTGTTTTCCTCTGATTTGTGTGTGTGTGTGTGTGTTTAAAATCTGCTTTTCTCTTATCTTAAAGAGAACTCAGGTATAGGAAACTTATAATGAATTTAAAGGTGGCGTTTTCTCTGCCTACATCTCTACACAAGAGCTGTTTCTAGTGGAGTAAGTCAGTGTAGATGGAAAAATCTGGAAGACTTTGCATGAGATCTAGTAAACCCAAAATGACAAAAAGGTGTCAGAGAAAGTTACTTCAAGGAAAGGGGGAAATGTATCAGCTTGTTTCTGATGGTAGTCCCTCACCTTGAAATATGAGCTCTAAATTTAAAAATATTGATGGCAGTTGAAGTCTGTCTACTTCAATGTGTGTGTGTGTGTGTGTGTGTGTGTGTGTTAGAAATTTACTAGGACAGTTGTTTATTTGATTTTAGGTGTTCTATAAAATGATTTGATACCAACTTAATTTAGTTAGAAGTTTCTAAATATAAGCAACACCACAGGTGTTCGGTTAATATTAGGAGTCTGCCTTTTATTTAAACAAAAAGCACCCTGTCCTACTCTGTGTGTTCTGTGCCGCCTGATAGAAACGTGATACAAGCTACAAACACAAGTTTTGTCAGGCTATTTTTGAGATTTAACCCATGCACTTGCAGCATCCATCCTTGTTTCAATGTGAATCAATAGAGAAATAATCTGCGCACTATTTTTCATTCTCTGGCCACAGTCCATCTTCACAAGTTCGTGTTTTGTCAGAGTGTTGCGGAGCCACAGGAGGGCAAATGGCTGTTGATTGGGCAGCACAGTTCTGTCACCTCACAGAAGCTTTTATAGTTTCTGCAAAATTCTCGCCATTGAGAATTTCTGTTACTTCATTTCACTCCAGCCCAGTAGCTTCTGTGCTTTTATTCTCAGGACCGTGGATTCTGCCCCTTGTTTTTCTTATTCTTCTTTCGTTGTGGTTCTATTTTATGTTTTTATTTATCCTTAATTAGTTGTACAGAGGGGACTCAGTTCCTCATGTCAGTTTATGAGGATGATGTATCTTGATCAATGTCACCTCTTCCCTCTTTCTCCCCCATCTCTCCCAACCCACCCTTCCCCTCCATTTGCCTGGTTTTGTTTTCACATATGTACATGGAATATTATGATTGTATTTGCGCACCCTTAAAGCTCTTTCCATCCATCTGCCCCCACCTGTGTACCTCACCGCCTTCTCAACAATACATGCTCCACATCCTGGTATTCATTTTTGCTAAATTGTAAATTAGCTGATCAAATGAGTTAAACCATTGCAATCCTCTTCTGTGTATACCTTTGTTAATACATTTGTGCACATGTGCATATCACCTTGTATATGTTTACAGAATGTATTTATAAGGTAGATGTAACTTCTATATATGAGAGAAAATGTGCATGCTTTGTCTCTTTGTTAAGCTTTTCTTAAGTGATTTAAGCTGGCAGTGTAGAAGGTGGATGTTTGCTTGTAGGACAGGACTCCCGTAGTCAACAGATAAGTGGTTGCTGTCTTGGTTTCTCTTCAGGAAGTATTTCACTTAATATGATTGCTAGAACGATCATTTTACATTGGTTTATTTAAGAAATGTTTAGCAGGGTGCCAGTGGCTCCTGCCTATAATCCTTGCTCCTTGGAAGTTGAGAATGGAAGGAGTACAGTTTAAGACCAATCTTGGCAGAAACGTTTGTGAAACGTATTCTCAACCCTTAGATAGATACTATTGGCATTGCCTGCCATCCTATTTTTGACAGGAAGCTTAAATAGGTGGATTGATGTCCATCTGGGTGAATGGGCAGGATGCTGTACCCTGTCTCAAAATAACCAGCACAAAAAAAGACTGGAAACGTAACTCAACTCTGAAACACCCACCTAGTGAGCACATGGCCCAGAGTTTAAAACCCAAAACTACCCTCCAAAAGAGAGAGAGAGGGAAAACAACCATCTTTAAGTATCCGAATATGCCCTAATGAAATCCTGTCTTCATTTTCCTTATAAAATTATGTGTGAGACTCTTTCGATACTACCATGTGAAAAAGCTCAATTTTTATTTGTTGTTTTTCCCATTGAGTTATTGATTTAATTAAAGCTCTGTCATTGCTACAGTTGATATTCAATTTGCAAACATGCTGTAAAACTAACAGAAATTTGGTCAGGCCTCAATGGTTCACACCCCAATCCTAGCTATTCAGGAAGCTGAGATCTGAGGGTCACGGTTTGAAGCCAGCTTGGGCAGAAAAGTAAATCAGACCTATCTCCAATTAACTAGCAACAAGCCACAAGTAGAGGTGTGGCTCAAGTAGCATGGTACCAGGCTTGAGAAAAATAGCTAAGGGATAGCATGTAGGTCGTCAGTTCAAGCACCCAGTACTGACACAAAGCAGCAAGATCCAAAAAAATCTAACAAAAAATTTTCGGCAAGTTGTAGATGTGGTTGTATGTTATCATGCTCAACCTCTCCACACTGCTTGTGTTATCTTTGTGTTATCTTTAAGGCCATGTAGTGGAGTGAGTGAGCTCACTAGCATAATCACTTCTTGATTAAGTCCTAATGATGAAATTCCTGGCCTGTCTTTCTGTTGTCTAACAGGACCAGACTATGAAGCTGGTAGAAAGCTCAGGCTGTCCAGCTCTGGACTGCCCAGAGTCTCATCAGATCACATTGTCTCACAGTTGCTGCAAAGTTTGTAAAGGTAAGAGGTTTTTTTTTTTTTGATAAACTATAAATACTTATGTGCAAGAATATAAGGATGGAACCAGTGGTTACTATGTTAAATGAAATAGTACGAGTGGAGAGCCAGGTCCTGGTGGCTCACACCTTGGTCCTAGCTACTGAGGTAGCTGAGATCTGAGGACTGCAGTTTGAAAGAAACCTGGGCAGGAAAAAAGCCTTGAGAACAAAAGCTCAGGGACAGTGCCTAGGCTCATGTCCAGCCAAAAAAAGAAAGACAAATTCTACATGTTTACACTTAGGAGGCGTGAAAGCTAAACAAGTTGATGTGGAAGAAGCAAAGGATAGGATTGTGGTTACTGGAGCCCAGGAAAGGCAGAGAGAGGCTGGGTAAGGGATGTGTGTGGATAGGAGAAATGACTTCTAATGTTTTGTAGTATGGTAGAAAAACTATGGTGGCTGACAGTTAGATATTTCAAAAGGCCAGGTGCTGGTAATTCATGCCTGTAATCCTAGCCACTCAAGGATGCTGAGATCTGAGAATCACAGTTTAAATCCAGCTTTGGCAAAAAAGTCTGTGAGGCTCAATCTCCAGCTAACCATCAAAGAGTTCAGAAATGGAAGTGTGGCTCAAGTGGTAGAGCATCAGTCTTGAGCACAAACACCAAGTGAATATGCAAGGTCCTGAGTTCAAGCCCCTTATTTTTCTTAATTTTTAGGCTATGTGTATGATGCATTTTGATCTGTGTCATCCCTTCCAGTGAGAGATTTGAGGTCCCCAGGTCTTTTTGCTTTTGTTCCTTTTTTCCTGGGCAGCCTGGACTGCCATACTCCTATTTATGCTTCCTGTCTCTCAGGGACATCGTCTGTGCCATGTTGTTGGCCTTGTGTAATTAGCTGTCCCTACTAAACTAGTGCCACCACACTCAGCTTTATTGGAGTTGCTTGAGCTAGCCTCTAATAGGACCCTCCCAATTTCAGGCTTCCTAGTTGCTAGAATTACAGGTGTGAACCACAAGGCTTGGTCTTACATTTCTACTGTGCTACCAGGTGATGCTGATAACAGGGGATAGCAAGACCATGTTTTGAGTAATCTGTTGTTAAAAAAGAGATGCCAGTGGCTCACACCTCTAATCCTACCTGCTCTGGAGGCTGAGATCTGAGGATCTCAGTTTGAAACCAGCCTGGGTAGTAAAGTCCTTGAGGATTTTATCTCCAATTAACGACCAAAAAATCCACAAGTGAAGTTGTGGCTCAAGTGGTAGTAAAATGCTAGTTTTGAGTAAAAAAGCTCAGGGACAGTATATAGGCCCTGAGTTCAAGCCTCAGGCCTGGCACTAAAACAACAAGAACAAGAACAAAAATAAACTCACATAAAACTCAATAACTTCATACAACCATTTTAGTCTAGAGATCAATATGATGGGTCAGAAATTCAGACTGGGCTTAGCCGAGTAATTCTTCTTGTCCTTGTCCTTGTATTATTAATGGGAGACACTCTCTACTGCTAGTCAAAAGCTGGGAGGGGTTGGGAAGTTTACAATGTCTCAGCCTAGGCTAGGCATTGTGGTCAGGATAGCTAGAAAGATGGAGATAACCAGGATTCTCACTTCTCTCCATACTCTCAGAACTTTTCCCAGGGTATTTCCATCAGCACATGAATGAGATATTTTGTGTGTGTGTGTGTGAGTGTGTGTGTGTGTGTGTGTGTCCTGGATTTTGAACTCAGGGCTCAGGTGCCATTCCTGAGCTTTTTCTACTCTACCGCACTTCTGCTTTTTTTTTTTTTTTTTGTAGTTAATTGGAGATAAGGGACTCACTGACCTTTCTGCCCAGGCTGGCTTTGCCCCATGACCCTCAGATTTCAGCCTTCTGAAATTACAGGTGTGAGCCACTGGTGCCTGGTAGTCAGACTTCTTAAATGATGATTTGGCACTTTAAAACATGAAAGGCTGGAATGGACATAACATAGCTTCATTTATACTCCATCCATCAAAGCCTCTCTGGACCTGACCAGATTCAAGGGATCATTGGAAGAGTTGGAAATGTTTGTGACTCTCTCTAATTCATTCTCAGTGTCCAGGGCCTGCTTATAGGTGAAGAGAGGAGTGTCACAGAAGTGAGTTAAGGTGTGGTGGGAGAAGATTCAGGTTAAGAAGCAGAGGTGGGTCTTTCAGGTGGCAGGAGGTACTATACCCATTTCCTTTTGAACAAATCCTAATGCACTGTAAAAAGGAAGAGAAAAAAATGGAACAAGTAGACATAAAAATTGTATCATATGTAAATTGTTTACAGTTGGAAGAATTAATGTGTTGCTGCCGCCAATGGCTCACGACTGTAATCCTAGTTACTCACGAAGCTGAGACCTGAGAATTGTGGCTTGAAGCCAGCATGGACAGCAAAGTCCATGAGACCAAAAAACCTGAAGTGGAACAGTGGCTCAATTAGTAGAGCGCTAGTCTTGAACAGAAATGCTACATGATAGCTTAGGGACAGATCCTGAGTTCAAGCCCCAGGTGTGGCGCACACACACACACACACACACACACACACACACACACACACACACACACACACATACCAAAATAATGCATTTACATGGAATATTTAAAATTAGAGTGGCAAAACTATGACTTCTATCAATCCCCTCCACTGATAGGAGATGGGACCTTGGCATTTCTCTTTTTAAAAATCACATAACAAATTCCTTTTCTGGCTTCAAACCTCTGACTTAGATAATTCTCAACCTAAAACTAAAATGTTTTTGTGTGTGTGTGTCAGTAGTGGGGCTTAAATTGTGGGCTCTTCCGCTCAAGGTGAGTGCTTGCTCAACCATTTGAGCCACAGCGCCACTTCAGGTTTTCTGGTGTTTAATTGGTGTTTAATTGGTGTTTAATCTGCCTAGGCTGGCTTTGAACTGTGATCCTCAGATCTCAACCTCCTGAGCACTACAGGCATGAGCCACTGGCTCCTGAGACTTTTTTTTTAAAGATAAATCTCACTAAATTGCCTAGGATGGCCTCAGAGTCAAAAGTCCTTCTGCTTCAGTCTCCCTAGCAGCTGGGATAACAGACATGTGTAACTACACTTGGCCCTTCTTGAAATGGTCAGTGATTTATAAAAATCATCATTTGCACTTCTGGCTTGCAATATACAGGAAAAGTAAATGAATTCTCCTGACATGCTCTGATTTTCAATTTAAGAAAAAAAAGTCCAGTTCTCAGTGCTGAAACTATGAATCAACTCTTACACACATATTGGGACAAATTCATCTGTAATAAAATTGGGTCTCCAGTTTCTAGGCCTGCCTACCAAGTATTAAAGACATTGTACTTGTACCCCAAAGGCACATTGTTCAGCAACAGTTCAGAAATAGCCCCTGAGGGTGCAGCACAAGATGAAAGTGCTGACCTTTCCACTAGAGACTAAGCCAGTGGTCAGAAAGCAAGCAAGCTATGCACTGAAACCAGGCTCCAGATCGCTAGGCACCAAGTCACATCCCACTAAGACTGTTTCCTAGGTGCCTGGAAGCTGGCTCCCTTCCAGGGTAGCTCATCCTAAGAAATGTAGCAGGCCAGATTTCTACATCTTTCATAGTTGCCAGCCCTTTCAAGGAATCTTATACCAAACTACATGCCAGACATGCACTGATCTAAGGAAGACACTTGACTCAGATGTAGACATAGCATATCTGGCTTTCGCTCTGCCTTGTGTCCCTCTCCTCTTCTCTTTGAAGGTGTCCACGTTCCCTGGCATCAAGGCTGTAAAGTCCTCTTCGCGGTAATTTATTAAATACCTCAGCACACCTCATAATGACAAGCAGGGTAGTTTCTACATGCGGAACACTGACTTCCTGTACTGTAGCCCAGTTATTATCAGCATGACTTTTATCTGAAGAATTCATCACAATTACTAATAATGCTTTTATACGGATTGTCAGTTCCATTTTTAAATTTTAGTTTGATACCTAAAAATGACATGTCTGAAATAATGGAGTTATTTAATTGATTTAGATTTTTTTTTTTTTTTTAGTGTGGTCCTGGGACTTCAACTCAGAGCCTGGGTGCTGTCCCTTAGCTTTTTTTTTTTTTCCACTGAAGGCTAGTGCTCTACTGCTTGAGCCACAACTCCACTTCCAGCTTTTGGTGGTTAAATGAAGATAAAGAGATATGTGGACTTTCCTATCCAGGCTGACTTTGAACCATGATTTTCAGGTCTCAGCCTCTTGAATGACTAGGATTACAGGTGTGAGCCACTGGTGCCAGACTTAGGTATTTATTAATATGCATTGGGAAAAAAAATCCGTTGCTATTAGAGGTTTCCTCTCATAGGTGTCTACACATAGGAACCACACTTTGGGAACTAGAAAACTCATTACCGTACAAACAACCCCTAAATATGCTACTATTTCTTTGAATGACAAGGAATACAATGCAGGGGGCTTGTAGTAGCTTAGTTAGAATGTATGGGCCCAATAAGGAAAGGGAAACCTTGCTGCACATACAGCTTGATTCATAGCTCCGATTCTGCTCTGTTGCTGCTCAGTTTTTCTTTTCTGAGCTGACTACCTTCAGGCTCAATGTATTTTTGGAGAGACCCTTGATATTCTTATTCCCACAGTATTTATGATACTCAGGGAGGTTAAAAAAAAAAAGGTTAATACCCTCATAAGTTGAATACAAGTCCCAGAATTGGTTTTCATTAGCCGGAACTGAAGATCTCATTGTGTGTAGGCCTATGGGATGCACTGATTTGTGTGACTGTATCCTGAGAGTAGTGGAGTCCATTTTCCTGTAAGCATCTGGGCTGACAGTAGCAGTGAGTGGTTCATCCAAAATATAACTCAGCTTTATTTGTTTCCCCACAAGCATAAACAATAGGTGCCTATAGGCAAAACCAATAAATACGCACCATAAAGTCATGGTCTTTTCAGGGTAGTGTGTTGTAAACTCAGGTTTAGCAACTCCAAAAGCCAAGAACATTATGAAGAGAAGAGTAGCTATGGAGACAATATTGTTAATCTGTGTTTGTTTGTTTTTGGTTTAAAGCTATCCCATGTAGATTAGAAACAACTTACTTAATGGAGCGAATTTTCTATTAGTAACAAAGCCATTTGACCTTAGCATCTTGAATCCAAGCAACAAGATGTCTAGTAAAGCTAATACACTTTTTTTTTTGCTAAAAAAATCAAAATAGCTCTCTGATATTGTTTATAGCAAATGCAATTTGATTGACTGAAAATTTAAGTTTCCAAGCCTCTGGGTTAATGATAAACCCAAATGTTTCTTAATTTTTACCTAAAAAGGTGGAAGTAGGAACACACTAGAACTTTCCATATGAAAAATCCTTGCAGCCATTAAGTACCAAAGAGCCGGAATAGGGGTGTAGCACAAGTGGTAGAACGCCAGTCTTGAGTGAAAAAGCTAAGGATCAGTGTTCAAGCCGTGAGTTCAAGCCCCAGTTAAAAACATAAATAAGAAGAGTCAACAAAAGTGGACAGTTAAAATAGAATGTTGAGGAGTGTGAACTCTTCAAAAGAAAATAAAAAAAATTTGAGAGAAATGGTACCCGTACCATTAGTCATGCCCAAGAAGAGATGTTTGTAACACCACAGATAGAATTACATAGAGATGCAGTAATGCTTTAGAACTTGAACTGGTCATTCTCTGCATACACTGAAGAGTGGACCATTGAAAATGGACTTTCTTTTCATTTAAAATAAATATGAAGTAAGTTTTGAAGCTTTCAAAGTTTAGCTTGATGAAGGTGCTGAGCTATTGAGATAGATTAAGTTGGTTTTCCCTGAAATTGTTCCCCGTCAAATATTACAATGAATTCAATGGTTGTAATTTAATTACTTAAGAAAGAAATCAAGTGACCCTTGGAGAAAGCTCTTTTGTTTTTCTAGTCTTGGGGCTTGACTTAGGGCCTGAGTTCTGTCCCTGAACTTTTTGTTCAACGCTGGTGCTCTACCACTTGAACCACAGCTTTAATTTTGGCTTTTTGCTAGTAGTTGGAGACAAGAGTCTCATGGATTTTTCTTCCATGGCTGTCTTTGAATCATGATCCTCACATCTCAGCCTCTTGCATAGCTAGGATTAAAGGCATGATCACTGTCACCCAGGGGGCAAGTATTTTTTTTTAACTTTTCTCAAAAATTTTACTTCTAAATATTCAGCCTTAATCCTGATAACTTAGGTTGTGAAAAGTATTTTCAAGAGAAGTTTAACTTTCCAAGTGATTTAAATGTTTATTGAGTATATTTTTCATCTTTAAACACATTTTATTTTACTTTTATGGAAGTCATCAATAGGTCTCAATTTTTGTTTCTTTTTAATGGCATTATTTCTTTTTAAGAATATTGCCCTTCTTAAAGCTTATTAAATTATAACAATAGCATTTTATTGTCTATCATATTGCATTTCATGGGTTGATATGTTTCACTCAGGCACTGACCATTAAGAATGTGCATCTTCTTCCATCACAATGGGTATGGGTGTGCTTAGAACTAATCCAATTTAGAAGTTCATAATTTTCTTAAGTAAAAGTACTTTTTTTCTGGACCATACAGAGATGATTTTATTCTAAGTTGTATGAAATAGCCTTTTCCTCTCCCCTTTTATTCTTTGCTAATTCATTAGACAATATAAAACTAGATAGAAAATTTATGCGGTAGGCAATTTAAAAATTTGCCAAATGATGTATAATCATGTAATTTCTATTACATATGGGTTGTAGTGTTTGAGCCTTTGCATTTCAGCCTTTTATGTCTTCTTTGAAGAAGGGGTTTCAATAGGAGAAAGAAATCCTGAGAAATTACATATGATTGGTGTCACTGTTTATGAGTTTCGTTTTTCTTTCCTTTCATAACGATTCTGCAATCTTTGAAATATCTGTAATTCACAAAAAAATTCACTTTCTTTTGAGGAGGTCACTCTGCAGATTTCCAGAGAAAATTAGATTAAAACGATATAATTTTCATTTTGACCACATCTCAGAGGTCACATTTTGCCTTAATAAGCTCATGAGAAATTTAAGGTGATAAAATTTAGTTTTGAGCACATTTCAAAAACTTTTTCTTTCAATCTGAATGTCCATTTTAGTTCCTCAGTATACAATGGGCCTATTTCATGCGGCTTGATTGCTATCTTCTGTGGGTATTGATAATGTAAAGGCTGTAGCCCTTCATTTTGGACTTGGATCTACTTGTTTTTTTTTTTTTTTTAAATGCATGGAGAATCTGAGCCTGTGCAGTGTTTCTAAAATCGTAGAAAGAAGGAAGGAAGGGAGGGAGGGAGGGTGGGAGGAAGGGCAGGAAGGAAGGAAAGAAGGCAGGAAGGAAGGAAGGAAGGAAGGAGGGAGTATGGGAGGGAGGGAGGGCAGGAAGGAAGGAAGGAAGGAGGGAAGAAGAGAAGAGAAGAGAAGTTGGGTGCCAGTGGCTCATGCCTATAATCCTAGCCACTTTGGTGGGTGAAATCTGAGGCCAAGCAGGAAAGTCTGTGAGACTCTTATCTTCAATTAAGCACACACACAAAAGGCTAGAAGTGGAGTTGTGGCTCAGGTAGGAGAGAAGTAGCCTTGAGTACAAAAGCTCAAGAACAGGGGCCAGTACCAGGTACTGAGTTCAAGCCAGAAGAGAGTAGAGGGAGAGGGGGGGGAGGGAGGGGGAAGGAGGAGAGAGAGGAGGGAAGGAAGGAAGGAGGGAGGGAGAGAACATGGAATTCACATTCACAGGAAGTAGGAAATAATCCAATAAAACATCAAGAATTTTGATATAGTACATCATAAAGATATTAACTAAAAAAAAAATCTCTGTTTAGAGAAAAACGTAGCTTTAACATGGAAGGAAATAGGCTGTGAATGTGGCTTAGTGGTAGAGCACTTGCCTAGCATATATGAGGCCCTGGGCTCAACTTCTTAATACCACATAAACAAAAAATAAATGAAATTAAAATCTTTTTTTAATGAAAGGAAATTATGAATCACATACTTTATCTTGTCATTGTTTCTTTTACCGTAATAACGCTTTTTCTTGTCTTGTAGGTTATGACTTTTGCTCTGAGAGGCACAATTGCATGGAGAATTCTGTGTGCAGAAATCTGAATGACAGGGCTGTGTGCAGCTGTCGCGATGGCTTTCGGGCTCTTCGGGAGGACAATGCCTACTGTGAAGGTAAATCCTCATAACGATGAGAAGCTTGGCTCGATCAATTTCCTAGGATTACTGCATGCTGAATTTATTAATTTCCCAGGTTGTCAAGTTGATGAGCCCATTAAACGCAGTGAATTTAATTTGAAGCATATTAATCAGCTAAAAATAATTATCTTTCAAATTAAAGTTTTTCAGCTATCTGCTATATGTCAGACTAATAAGTTCATATGGCTTGTTTCTTGAATTAGAACAATACTTCCACTGTGAAATTGCCTTCTTTTTCTTCATAATTAGATATTCAGATAGCTCACATATTGACATGATTACTGTGGCTTGCAGTTAGAATTGTAGGCAGATTTTTTTTTTCAGACAATGTGGTGTAACAAAGGCAATCAATTAACAGAAGATAAAGTACCTTCTGTTAATTTTTTTTTGTTTGCTATGATAAGTAATCCCAGTGGTTATGTTTATGCTCTGTGGAATTTAGTAAATAGATCCAATAGAGTAAATCATTTTCTAGTTACTTAAAATTTTTTTAACTAATGTACAAGGTGGTTGATTATTTCACAGAAACAGTGCAAAGACAGTGAAAGACCCGAGGCATTCACTTGGCTCTGGCTTTATTCCTATAGACCCCCCATAAAGTCCGTGAGGTATGGTAATTTGTCACTTACCTGAGGCAGATATGTAAATCATTCCCATTAATGACATGATTATCTCCTGGGTCCTACAAATGAGAACACAGACTTGGTGGCATTTGGTATTTGGAGACTTAGAGAGGAGGATTGTAGTGTTACCTAGTCCAAATGTTGAGCATTTGCCATGGGTCCTAGAAGGCGGAAGACCTTAGGCATAAACAAGCAGCCTCTGTCTATAGCACAATGTATTGACCCCGGAGAAATGAATTTTTATTGTTGCCTTTAGCATTAGACTTTTCCCCCTCTGTATTAAAAAAAAAGTAGCAGTTACTGGAGACTGAGATCTGAGGATCATGTCTCAAAGCCAGCCTGGGCAAGAAAGTCTGTGAGACTCATCTCCGATTAGTCAACAAAAAAATCTGGAAATGAAGCTGTGGCTCAAGTGGTAGAGTGCTAGCTTTGAGCATAAAAGCTGAGGAACAGTGCCCTGGCCCTGAGTTAAAGCTCCAGGACTGGCACACACAAGATGCACATGTGTGTGCGTGTACACACGTGCGCGCGCGCACACACACACACACACACACACACACAGAGTCATTAAAAAATTGACCTTTGGCACAGGATAGAATAGGAGAAACCATAGGTCTTGTTGGCACAGGCCGAAATTTTCTTAATAGAGACCCAGAAACACAACAAATTAAAGAAAGGTTGGACAAATGGGATTGTATGAAATTGCAGAGCTTCTACATGGCAAAGGACATAGCTAGCAAGATCAATAGAAAGCCCACGGATTGGGAGAAGATCTTCACTAGCCATACAACAGACAAGGGTCTCATATCTAAAATATACCTTGAACTCAAAAAATTAAGCCCCCCAACAACAAATCCTCAAAGAAACAACTGCCCAATAAATAAGTGGGCTAAAGACTTAAAGAGAAACTTCTCTGAAGAGGAAAGAAGGATGGCCAATAGACACATGAAGAAATGCTCAACCTCCCTAGCCATAAAAGAAATGCAAATCAAAACAACATTGAGATACCACCTCACCCCAGTTAGAATGGCTAAAATCAAGAACTCTAATAACAACAGATGCTGGAGGGGATGTGGACAGAAGGGAACCTTACTGCATTGTTGGTGGAAGTGTAAACTTGTTCAACCACTTTGGAAAGTACTATGGAGGTTCCTCAAAAGACTCCACATAGAGCTCCCCTATGACCCAGCAATCCCACTTTTGGGCATTTACCCAAATGATCACAAACAAGACCACACTAAAGCTACCAGCACGACTATGTTTATTGCAGCATTATTTACTATAGCTAAGATATGGACCCAATCCAGCTGGCCCTCAGTAGATGAATGGATCAAGAAAATGTGGTATATCTACACAATGGAATTCTATGCCTCCATCAGAAAGAATGACATTGCCCCATTTGTTAGGAAATGGAAAGGCCTGGAAAAAATTATATTAAGTGAAGTAAGCCAGGCCCAAAGAAACATAAGTCCCATGGTTTCCCTTATTTGCAAAATCTAGTATATGTCTGAGTCAAGCAGAAAAGGTCAGATAAGTTGATGTTAGGGAAATGAACCCTAAGATATGTATTCAAATGTTTTTTTTCTTTCATGTGATTGTTTCTAATGCATTTATAAGATTATTTCTTTGTTGCTTTGTAGGTCCCTCCCCCATGGTATAACCCCTGCTTTCACTGTATTTGATATCGGTATAATTTGTGGAGGGGAAGGAGAAAAACAAATCATTTAAATAGGGATACTGGTGGACCCATTGCAACAATGAGATGTACAAGTCGTTATGTCGAAAACGAACTTTACAACTTTGGTGCGGATGGGGGGGGGCGGCGGCCGGGGAGGATTGGGTGGAGAGGGGGCGGGAGGCTGGGAAGGGATGGGAAGGGGAAACAAAGGAGGAGGCTACAATGCTTGATAAGAAATGTACTCGTTATCTTGCCCATGTAATTGTAACCCCTATGTACAGTATTTTCATAATAAAAAAATATTGACCTTTGGGACTGGGAAGTTGGCTCAGTGGTAGAGCGCTTGCCTTGCATGCCTGAGGCCCTGGGTTTGATTCCTCAGCACCACATAAGCGAAAAGAAAAAAAGCTGGAAGTGGCACTGTGGCTCAAGTGGTAGAGCGCTAGCCTTGAGCTGAAGAGCTGAGGGACAGCGCCTAGGCCCAGAATTCAGGCCCCACGACCGGACCCCCCCCAAAAAAAATTGACCTTTAAATCAAATATTACTTTTTTGGTATGCATCTTTCAAAAAATTGTTTTTAAGATTCTAAATACCTATTTCAGATGTTAAATACACTGGGGTTTGAACTCCAATTTTCTGCTTGCTAGGTGGGTGCTCTACCACTTTTGAGCCATATTCCCTAGCTCTTTTCTGCTTTCATTATTTTTCATATACGATTTCATTTTTGCCTGGACTGGCCCCAAACTACAGCCCTTCTAACCTATACCTTCCATGTAGTTGGGATAACAGACTGTACCACCACACCCAGGTTTTTGTTGAGATCTCCTGTCTTCTGAGTAGGTTAATTACAGGCATCAGCAATGATACCCATGTTGATTGAGGTATTTCTTTTAATGCTTCTGCTAAAATTCTAAAGGGACATTCTTTTTTTCTGAAAGAAGGACATATGTCTTTCCTTTCATATTTCTAGTGCAGATTTATTTAAAATTCCATTCCTCATTTTAAAAGATTTTATGTAACTTCACTTTTCCCTAATGAGTTTTATTCTTACATAAGGTAGAGGTGAACCTTCTCAGTAAAGTAATGCATTTCCATTCTATTTGAGATCTCTGACATATAATAGGCACCGTTGATATTATCAATGTGCATATGAAACCCCACAATACAAATGGGGGAGGTCCTGGGGCTTGAACTCAGGCCTGATTATTCTCTATTAGCTTTGTGGCTTTGTTATTCTCCCAGTTGAGGTACAGCTCCACTATTGACTTTATGGTTAGTTGGAATAAGAGTCTCATGGACTTTCCTGCCTGGGCTGGCTTCAAATCATGAACTCCAGATCTCAGCCTCCTGAGTGTCTAGGATTGCAGGAGTGAGCCACTGGTGCCTGGCTTGAGGGTGTTTTACTTCTTAGAAGCAGTTTTGTGCCTGAAGACTTTCACATAATTTATCAGCCGTTGGTCTTGTAGGGCCCTGGGTCTGTGAAATATTAGGCTTATCACAATGCATAAAAAGGGATAGTTTATGAGTAACATAAATCTCATTTACTAAATCCGTGGGGCTGTTTTAATGACATGGCTGTAATTGAGTCTATTGATTTTTACCAGGTTGCTTGTTCGGGGTTGTTATAGCACTGGTAATGCTGCAGTTCCTTTCTTCATTTCACAAATATTTATTGAGTGCCTACTTTGTGCAAGACTAGAGCAGCGAATGGAGATATACCTTACTGATATGTTTTCAGGCAAGAAAGCTTATAAATCGATCATTATGCCGAGTAATATGTAATCACAATTGTGGCAAATACCCTGAAGAAGAAATCGGATCTTAGGGTGATGAGCGTGGTCTGTGTAGGTGGTGGAGTGGGAAATTTTGCATAAAGATTCTGAAATTTGAAGAGGAAGGGAAAGTCATCTAGTTGTCAAGGGAGAATGGAAAAGAAGGGAATCTTCCTTCTGTCGAGAGAAGCCCTGGTTAAGTTCCGAGGGAAGGCTTGGTAGCTGGGGTGGAGCATGAGGGCAGGGTGCCTGATGAGACTGGGGGTGGGAATCAGGACCTTGGAAGTCATACTAAAGCGTAAGGTGCCATTCAAAGTACCGGGAGTGGATACAATGGCTCACACTTGTATTCCTAGCTACTCAAGAGGCTTTGATCTGAGGATCACAGTTCAAAGACAGCCTGGGCAGAAAAGTCCTTGAGACTCTTATCTCCACTTAACTAGCAAAAAAAGCCAGAAGTGAAACTGTGGCTCAAGTGGTTGAGTGCTATTCTTGAGCAAAAAAAAGCTAAGGAACAACACTGAGGTCCTGAGTTCAAGTCCCAGTACCAGCACAATAAATGAATAAATGGGAAAGTATAGGGAAAGCTAAAGGAAGGAATAAGCAGATAATTGTCATGATGGCATGTGAGTTTTAAATAAACTATTTCTTTCCATGGCAGGATGTATGTGGGAAAGACTGGGTATGGGCTAAAGAGTGAATGTGAGACAGTAGAGTCTTGCCTTAAAAATTAAAATCGAGATGTGGATGCATTTGTAAGTAAAGCGAAGCAGTTCTGATTATTCACTGACAGTAGATGATGAGGAGAGAGGGGGTGGTTGGTTCTCTGGTTTCTAGCCCCAAATGGGCAAATTTCGGTTACTTAGGGAATAGATTGGGTGAGAAAAATCACTTTGGGTTGGT